TCCTTTATCGTTCCCATCCTGCTATATGAGACGGAGGCATGGACGAAAACAACATCTGCTTATTCGGCGTAAAAGCTTTTAAGAGAAAGGTCTTAGGCAATGTTTACGGCGCTCTACAAGTTAGGAACGATAATGGGAACCACTCCCGATGGAACGAAGAGCTGTATGAGATATAAGTAAGTAAGTAGATAACGGCTTTGCTTAAAAACACATTTTTTCCAGGTAGAAGCGACTGATTGGACTAATACGAAGCCACAATCTGTGTAAAAAATAAATATATTTTCCACCACCAACAAATATTTATAAATAGAAGAATTCTAAAATAATAAAAATAATATCATTCACTCGTAAATTTCAGCTTCCAACAACAAAATTTATGCTCAAAAACTTGTCACTATTTTGAGTTATTCGAAAAATGTCATAAATATAGAAGAATTTGTACCCTACAATAAAAACACATGTTCTTACACTTTTGAAGATTCCCCCCACCCCATGCGTAAGTCGCAAACAAATTCCAATATTTTCTTCGTACACAAAAACAAACTTTACCAGCGATTTCAAAAATTCCATTTGATAATTCGTTCCGAAATTTCACGCCACCGTCTGTGACAAAATTTTCATTTTTCGTAAAACCTCGGAATGAATGCAATGAAAAGTTCACCAAACAACCCTCGGTCAGAGTAAGTTATTACCGCGGCGCAAATGATGAGCCAGCGAAGTTGCAGTGAGAGGGTGGCCTGAGGTCGCTGTTTGTACACTTTTTTAGAAAACAATATAAATACGTGACTATAGAACCGTAATGTGAGCGACAAGTGTTGCAATTCACCAGCCAATAGTGGGCTACACCACGAAAACCAAAATTCGTCTCCGCATACTCCGGCTTGGCGCCGTGCCGCCTGGGTATTCCAACATAGTCGTAGCAGTGGTAATTCCTATTGTTCCACCCTTTGGACAGTATCGCCGTGCCCAGCAATTTTAAAATATCACTTTACATACATACATACAGACACCCATACTCTTATTTATCTATCTATGTTGGTATTTTGGGTTTTAAAAAAATTTCATTAAAAACACAAAAACATTTCCACCACCGAAACGCTGCGCGTCAGAATAGTGTGTTTTGTATTGAAATTCGAATTGTACGCAACATTTTTAGGTTAGGGGAAATTCCAAACGAATTTACTTTACATTCCTCATTCCACATTGCAGCACATGTACGAGTACTCATACGTGTATGTATGGTCCACGAGCGGTACAGAGATTCTCGCACTCACAATGCAAGGTTTGCATTTCTATGAACTTTGGCACATTACGCGCGGATTAGCATTTTTGATAGATGACAAGTGTGCATGGAGCATTCAGTACGTTGGCTCGCTGGCTGAGATGCCGGCGTTAGATTCCCTGGGGTTAGTGGCAAGGCTTTGCTGCCTAAATTATTCTCATGGAGGGTTGCAATATTTGTAATTAGATTGGTTTTTGCTTCTTTGCCAAAAATTTGGGCTGAAATAAATTCTTTAGCTAATCAAAAGCCTACAAAGCTTACAAAGCTTCTTAGCATAGTACAGGGGCCGGTACTTGAAGTGTAACCGATTGAAAGGGTTACTTTTAATCAATGCAAAGTACAAATTGTGTGGAAATAATAGAAAATTCGGAAGCGATTCACTTTTTGCATGATCTCACATCCAAGAAGTCAGAGTTGGGAGAGCGAAGTAGTTGCAGTGCTTAGCCGAAAGTGGTCAATTTCCGAACATTGTGTTTTCTGACGAGAAAATGTTTATAATTTTTTATAAGATTTACTTGAGCGACCGTTCATACAAGAATTTGAGTCATCGATTGGGCACCGGGAGGCTGGACCCAACAATGATAATTATTTTGGGCCGCTATAACCGCAGATGGGCGCTCTCCAATCGTTTTCATCGCTACTGGCATCTAGGTAAATGCGCACTATCATCGGAAAAGAATTCTAGATGTTGGTCTGAAGCCGTGGGTGGGCAAACATTTCGGTGACAGACCTTGAACATTTCAACAGTGCTCGGCACCGTCTCATAAAGCTCGAGTAAGCCAAGAATGGCTGAAAAACAACGTTCCGAACTTCATACTGTCCACACAATGCTTCTCGAGCTCACCAGACGCTAAACCGATGATTATTCTCTTTGGGCCATTTTGGAGAGTCTGGTCCGAACAAAAAGATACACCAGTCTTGAGGCGCTGAAGACCTAAAGCCAATCGTCAACAAACTAATTGGACCTTATCAGTGTGGCTTTAGACTAGATAAATCAACTTTTGACCAGATATTCACCATGCGTCAAATCTTGGTAAAAGGAGCTGCCTCTACGCCGCTAGGTCTGAATTTGAAATATCCGTAAACATGAATCCGAGTCATTCTATAAGAGCGGACAATGAAGTCAGCAGTGGCGAAGATTCGCTATGGAAATGAGAGGAATGGTTCTGAAAGTGAATGAGAGCAAGACGAAATATCTCTTGCCATGAAGCAAATCGTCGGCAAAGCCACCCTTGAAAGCAGGTGCTACTTTGAACTGAGTAGGCAATTTATAGGAAAATTTCTCTCTTAACGAACCATAACCAAAACCAAACTTTTCAAGGCTCTCATTATACCCTACTGTATGGAGTATTTCTGAGCCTTCGAGAGAAATTTATACGGAACATGTATGATGCTCTGCGTATAGGAGACGACAAATGCAGTCGACGATGTAATGATGAGCTGTATGAGACATGCCCGTACGAGGAAAAAGAGATAATGACTATTCTGTTTAGGTCAAGTCATTTGATTGGAAAGTAGTCGATACCCAGTGCTGAGAGTAGAGAAACGGGAAGATCTCCACAGCATTAAAAGGATCAGACTTAAAGACAAAACGATAGGCGCAATATTGTTAATAAAGCTATGAAAGCGACGTCACACTAAAGAACGAGAGAATATATTATGATAAAAGGGATTGCTATCTGAAGTTCTGCGAGTAATTGGCAGTACACGGCACTTATTACAGTTTAAATTTAGATCACTAAAAACCGCCCATCTCGAGGTAGCAGATGAGTCGGTATTTAGAATACCGCAGAGCTGACCAGCACGATCAATGACATCAAAATAGTAAAACTGAATATTAGCGGCATAACCAAGAAGGTTTGAATTATTACAGACACTGAAAATGTCATTAATGAATACGCTGAAGATCAACGGACCAAAGATAAAGCGAGCTCTCTAAAATATTTCTTCAAAAAGTATCGAAGGAGCTGGACTATACCACCATCCAGTATGTGCTTCGACGTTGTGTTCCCTATGAGAAATGAATGGGAAAATACCAACGCCCTCGATTAGGGAGCCATAGCGCCCCCCCCCCCGGGGGTTAAGGGTTCAAGAATTTACCCGCGGTAAGGCGTGCCTGTTGTAAGAGGTTGTTGTAAATCCAAATAGTTCCCGCGACAGTCGGGTCTTTATACCAGAACGAGTCGGATTTTTACTATCAACCATGGACCAAAAACTATTTTGAGGAATATTTTGGCGGTAACAACAGCATATATATGCAGCGTCTTCTAAGCAGAAATCTATGCAATCATGAAAGCCGTCGTCGAGTGGGTGCTCAAAACTACGGCAGTAGAACAATCAGTTACTATATATTTTGACAGTCAAGCTGCCATCAGATCTCTACAATAGAATAGTCCCACATCAGTAGCGGCTATAAAATTTAGAAGCAATCTGAACAAACTCTCGACAGGCAATTGCATGGCAGACGAACTAGTAGGAATCCTTCTACAACACAATAAACCATGTACACGATGCAGGTTTACCTTTGCGCATGTCAAAATATATGCTTAAGCTGGACTTTGCTAAAGAAGCAGCTTCTAGATGGCCAAATGAGATCACGTGCAATGTGAACAGACAGCTGTGGCAAAAGTCGAACTCAAAAAAATTGTAATCATTCTTAGCCTGGAGCTAGCCCTCTAATCATTTCTTCTGCAGCTGTAAGGACGAAGGTAGAACAGGGGAAGTCTTTTGAGCACTACATCTGCCACTGTCAAACCGTGACATCTATGCGACACAAGTTCCTCCGGAAACACTTCTTCTCATTGCATACGAATTTGCTCGAACCCTTCAGAAGGTGGAGACAGGAGCCTCAGAGAGGTAACAGGTAATAAACCCATTGTTATTTGCAATCGCATCAGCTCAACTCAAGGATAGATCCTTGAAGCACCCTTGAAGTTACTGGTTTGAGAATCGATCTAGCTCCGCCTATTGAGACACAGGCTAAAGCCGGGCCAAAGTAGGATTTCAATTTGTTGCATAATAATTCAAGATCTTTCATATCAAATGCCTTAGGGAAGTGATGTAAACAGAGCCACACCAGTTGATTCAGTGATCTTCAGTGAATTTATATCACAACTATGGCTTGCCCTAAAGACTGACTGAAGGGGCGATATTCAATTAAAATGTATTTCCCATTGACACATTTTCGTTAAAAAAAAAACAAACAGTCAAAATCTCATTAAATTTACTTAAACCTTATTTTTGAATGTATGATTAAGAACAATTCTTTTGAATTATAATTTTTCATCTATAATTGGCGCTTTGTAACCGCCGAAACAATTTTGGGCCAAGCTCCGAGAAACTTTTAATTTCCATGTCAAAAATACACATGGCGGGCTCCACATACCCTGCCGAGTGGGGAGCGGTATTAGAAAAAGATTTATTTTTTGTAATTTCGTATGATGGTCGAACCAGGTTGCGAACCCTGGTAATCTAAATGTAAGTAAACAATGTTACCCCCCCGGTAATTGCGACCGCACAGGGGAAATTCGTATTATTTATGTCTGTATTTATTCATTGAGTTGCCTTGAAGCAAAAAGACTTGCATTGTCCCTTGTTTAAACCAGCTGTGACCCCTTTTGAAAGATACTACTTGTTGTTGTTGTTTCTTTTCATCTGTTTGAGGTGTAAACTTTTCTCTTTAAATACAGGTAAAAGCCGAATGATTGAGTGCAATGTTAAAAGTTAATACAAAATGAAGCTACAATTTTTAGTGCTGTCTTTCTTGGGTGATTATCGTGCTTTAATGGAGAATTTTTTAGTTCCAATATTTATTTTTGTATTTCTTCCTTTTTCCGCTTTGTCATTTAGTACTTTACCTGCTCACAGTGGAAGCCTGCAACAGAGACGCGGATCGTGAGATCTGTGTGGCTATAAATAAGCGCTGTCGTGAAACCGAAGTGGTTAGGCCTATTATAAACCCCGAGGATGTCTTGATCCCTTTCAATAAGGAATGTAGCGAAAGGGTCGGCGCTGATTGGCGCGATGTGGTTCGTTGTGATTTGGTGCGCGCGATTTGCGAACGTAAGTCTTTGGCTGGAGTCTCCATACTTGATGCTATATTTGTGTTTTTGTTATCTACTTTAATTGCAGTAACGATTGTGCGTTGCCAGAAGGTCACTTGTCGCAATGTGCAGGCGGTCATTGAGTCTTAATGTTTTGGTCGGCTTATGATTTTCGAAAGAGTTTACAAGTAAAATTTAATGTTTTATCTACTTATTCTGTGTAATAAATGTTTATAAATTTTTTTCTTGAAATTCTATCAAATTTAAATTGTTTTTTTTTTTTTTTGTATTATCCTAATACACACATATATACACACACACACACATACATATATAACATTAATACTACAAGAAAAAAATATTACCCCAAAATCGTTGTTCACGTGTTGCATTTTAAAGAAATTACATGCGCATTAAAGACGCAACATTAAAACAACAACAACACCAACAACAACAACCCAAACATAGTGAAAATACAGTGAAAGGTCAAACGTGATGTAATAAAATTTTATGTTTTACGATATTATTATTATTACAACACAAAAACAAAAACCAGAAATGACCACGCCGATGTTGTGTAGATAAATAAACATTGCACTTGTGTGCTTGCACATGCCTATGTATATACCTTTAAATATCTGTATGTACATACATACATACTTAGCGCATATATTCTGCTGTGCGCCAACCTTTCACCACCAAGAGGTCACGCTGTAAGCATGGCTCAACCTCAACGTCAAGTGGATGAGACTTCGCTGGAAGCGCGCACATCATGAACTTGTGGGAAAGTTAATGAAATAAAATCATTTATGCGCGTCGTTATGTACGAGTATGTGTGTACATCGTATGATGTATGCGATTCTAGGAAGCTACTGATTCTTTAAATATTTTCCCTAAAATAACATTGAGTTGAATTTAGTAGGATTTTTTACTTACATATGTACGTATGTATGTAAATAAAAAATCTATCTCAAAAAAACCAAGAGAGAAAATTACAGACTTGATATCCAACACATAAACACTCTTGCCAAAAGGTTCTCTTTAAGATTCTTTTAGACAAGCAGAGACCACAAGCTCAGCCCAGAATATTTGACCTACCAATGAACAGTCCTTAGGAGTGCTTGATAGAAAGGTTTATAGTATTCCACGAAGAATACGGTATAGTATTCGCCAGTTACTCTAGATTACTCTGGTTCACGCCGGTAGTTTATACTCGTTGACTGCTACTCATAGGTATATGGTTAAAGTGAAGTGTCATAGGGTTGTTAAATTTCATTTAAAGTGAACTAGTTGCGGCATAGAGCTTTAATATTTATTTTTTCTACTCTCCTAGCGTTGAAGTTCGTAGATGTGTGATACGAAAACTTTCCTAAAGTTCTTTCCAGAACGCGTGCGAATATCTCAAGATTTATTTTTTCAACGGAACGTTCGTCACACCTTGCTGGTGATCTATGAAATCTATTCCAAAACTTGTCAAAACTCGGGGGACGAAAAACCCTAAAATTTCTCTGGGCCGATGCTGATATCTACAGAAGATAATGTAGCTAAATAATACAATATCTTTTAGTCTGGTACTCACAAGCTTACAATTTATTACAACAAATAGAGATCTCTACGGTTTGATACGCGAACAATCATGAGCGAGCTATTCGCTATGGGAGTCTTTCAAACAAAGATTTTAAACATAAGTTTCAGCGTATATATAAATATATGAAGACAGTGAAAAAATATAAAAGTAAGTTTAGACTTATCCATTCATTGAGATTTCAAAAACATTTAACGAGTTAGTAAAATAAAATTTTTGCCTGTAGCGATAACGATAACGAGGTGGCCTCGGTAGCCGAGTGGTTAGCATTGCGTACTGATATGCGGAGAGCTCGGGTTCATATACCGGTGCCACCAACATCCAAAAGTTATCGAAAATTAATTTAATTAAAAAATTCAATTAAATTTCCTAATTGCGGTCACCCCTCGACAGGGAATGTCAACCACTCCGCGTGTATTTCGGACATGAAATAAAGGCTCCTCATAAAAAGCCCATCAGCCGTTCGGAGGCGGCTTAGTATAAATTGCAGGTCCCTCCATTTGTTGGAAAAACAACAAGACGCAAAACCACAAATTGAAGGAGGAGCTCGGCCGAAAATCGCTTCAGCGGTTACAAAGCGCTAATTATATATATAAAATATATGTAACGATAAGTCTAAATCTGTTCTTCATGTGTCGGAGGCGGTAGCATCAGCAGTTAAGCCAAGAAATCTTTACCATGAATATTAGGTAACTAAGACTCATACTTAAGGTAAACAAATATTTTAAACCACGCACCTATTAGGTCCCAGGTTAGGTCAGGATGCACCGGCTGACCTATTGGGTTTCCCATAGACGACAATATATTCATAGTATTAAACTACATTCCATACGACTAAGGTGCAGCGTTACACTTTTTATTGTGTCTGAATAAAATTTCTATTCTTTTCGCATTGAAGATCTTGTCCATAAGATAATGTCGTTTTAAGAGTCCTATCAGCTGACTGTAATCCAACTTCTTTACCGATAGCAAAAACTTTGTAAGTTTAGACTCATAAGCTTTGCACGTAATTTTCCCGATTCTGCATCGTTTAGCTCGTTCCCTAAGTTTTTATAATCGCCTGACGAAGTTATATTACATCGTGCTTTTGTTTCCTCGAGTGAAACCGATAGGTGAAAGTACAAACTAGTATACAAAAGTACTTGGTGAGCGGTCATCGGGTGGGATTGTCGTACTGGAGAATCACTGCTCTAATCTCGGCGCAGACAAGTTTATTTTAATTTTCGAAGAAGTAGAAATTCAACATGATCAAATGAACTGGTATTTTTCTAGTGCGAAGCTGATGTATAGTTGGACAATTGTTAGTTTTTAGGATCTTAGCTTCTAAAAACTGGTACAGTATGAACCCGAGAAGCCTGCTTAAGATATGTCTATAAAACAAACTACGACTTTATGTGCCAAGTGGTCCATTCGTTGAGTCCAATTTTCAATGACTAGTTCGAGCATTTCGACAGCTAACTGTCGAATGACACGCAGGATGTTTTGCTCCAAGGCCTAAATCGAAGCGGGATTGTCCGCATAAACGTTGGATTTTACATATCTCCACATTAAAAAGTGCAACGTTGTGATATCACACGATCTTGGTGGCCAATCGACCGGCCCAAAACCGGCTCTTGAATATCTTCAGATTACTCTTCGTTCCAAATGCGGCAATTTCGCTTGTTTACATACTCATTGAGCCAGAAATGGGCTTCAGCGCTGAACAAGCTCAAAACCTCGGATCATCTTGGAACTCTTCAAGAGCCCATGGGGCAAAGGCGATGGCGCTTAAAAAGGTCGCAGGGCTTCAATTATTGCATAAACTGTATTTTATACACTTTCAATTGAAGATCTCGACACAGAATGCGCCAAATCGTTCCATACCTCAGGCCGAGTTGCTGCGAACAGCGCCGAAACCACTCTCCACGGTCTTTGTGTACACTTTCAGCTACAGCCGTTATATTTCTTTCACTGCGTCCTCTACGGGGTCTATGCGGCCGAATATTATCCAATAATCAATGCTGGGTGTCAAAATGGGTGTTGATGTTGGGAATAGTACACTCAGTAGGGCGATTATGTTGGTCGTAAGTTGAGCGAAGCGCGTGAATTTTCGTAATAAGTTGAACGATTTTTAAACGTTATTTTGCTAGTTATTCGATTCAAAAATATTATTTAATATTGTATAATAAGCAAAATTAAATATTATTATTTATAATAAAAAGCTTATCTTTAATAAAGACAAATAAAAACTTTAAATAATACGGGCATTAGAGGGCTTTTAAATGTGCAACCGCGTTGGAGAGCCGCTAGATTGATAAATCCAACAAAACGTGTAACTGGCAAACACACACACACACACACACAAACGCAGCTACTAATTTAAATACTTGGCATTCGAATGCATTTGGGACTAAAAGCTTCTACGATATGCAGCAAAGCTTGTTTTTTCTCCAACTCGTTCACTGTTTCTATTCTTGCCCAAGCACTTCGTTTGCTCTCCCGCTCTCCGAGCACCGAGTGGCGTGTAAACAAGTGACGAATATATCAGTTTAAACACTTGATCGTAAAGATAGACAGATGAGGCGGCAGTAATAATAAGATCTCGGTGATCGTGTAAGATAGAGTCCAACACAAACGCTGGCGGTGATTTCGGTTTCATTTTATTATAATTTCAATCGAAAGTGTTGCTAATTAACACCGTCTCGCGAAAGTCTAACTGTAAATGCATTTTGCCTGCACTTTCGTTTTCAAAACAAACGAAACAGAAGTTCGCTGCTTAGAGCCTGCTCAAGAGTTGCAGACGGAAAGTCGAAATGACAAATGCGAATACGCCAAATTACGTGACATACACACAGCTCCATCCGCTGTTTACAGCCGCCCTGCTGAGCGAGTCGGCTTTTCTCAATGCGAGGCATGGAAATGGGACTTTTTCGGCATTAGAACTTCAAGCCCGGAATGGCAACGACTCCGTGCTGGTGCTGATGAACGATGACAACTACGTCACGACTTTTAACAGCCGCCCAACTTCGGTGATAGTTACTTGCATGATTTGTGCTTGGGTTATGCTGATCATTTATGTGACTATTTGTTGTTTTACGCAATGCGGTGTTGTGAAGCGTGCAAAGTTGCTTCTACATGGCGGTGCAACTGCTGATCGCGTGCCGAGGAGGAACAGGGGTAAGTAGTTACGTATAAATTCCACATAGAGCATCAGTGGTTAGATGCCTCGTTGGAGAGTGCTTCAAAATGTGCTATTTATGTATGTGCGAGTGGGTCATTCTTATTTAAATATTATAAACATATGTACATATGTAGATATGTATGGCATTCTATTTGGGTAAGCGTCGACTTGTTCATGTGCGAGAGTTGGCATCACGAGAGGGGAGCTTTTCTTATTTGAATTCAGTGTGGGGAATACGAATTGTGCTGCATAATTTGAGGCGCGAAAAGCTAAAATTATGAGTGCATGTGTTGACACACATTAACAACCATGCGGTAAAACACAACAAAAAACTGGCCAAAATAAACTAGTTTTGTGATTGCAACTAGGACTAGTCCGGAAAAAACCAGATTGGTACCAACTCCGCAAATATAATTTTAATTTATTTTGTTCCATTTTTGATATTGTAG